TTCCACAGGCTGACTGTGGCACTGACGATGCCACATATCCTAACGAATGTTTGCTATGCCAGGCAGCTGATAGAAAGAAGTGTAAGGGTGAACAAGACTTGCTTATAAAACACGGTGGTTGGTGTGATGCCGCAATAATATATGTAAGTATAATTTAGAGGTATTTGTCCGAGAAAATAAGGGGGGGTAAAACGCATCGTATCGCAACTGCTACATTAAAAAAATAGATTTGTCTCCAAATGAAATAAACAATTATGAAATATTTATTTTTTATACTTTAACTAAAGGTCATAATATAGAAATGATACGTGTAAGAATATAATGAACTATCTCTAATAAAAATCATTGCTGATTTTTCACGTGAAAACAACTGTTTACCAGATTAGATAAAACGACGTGCCGACCAATGACGCATGCGTATTGCTCCCACAGATTGATTCCCCGGATCATGAAAACGGAAGTGGTTCGTTGAATGATATTGTTTACCCCGGACGAGTAAGTGCACTTTCTTTTATACAATTAACGGCATTCAGCAGAAGCCAGACTAGACTGTGACTAAATTGTGAATAATTCGGGTTAGGTCCAAATCTTAAATTAATATGAATCAGCATCATTGAATTTCAGGCAGTCGTACATGAGGGTTGCTAGTATTTCTCACCATTTTATACATTCCCAGAATGTCACATAAAAGACGTTACTTAAACGTAAACAGTCTTACTTGAATAGTCAGTCGGTGGATTGAAATCTCCAAAATAAAAATTAGTACTTTATACTTTATGTGTCATTCACAATATGCAGATTTAATAAAAAAATAAATAATTATAATAGTAATAATAATAATAATAAGGTTTTAAGGTTTGGTCTAGAAATTTGCTCCGCTAAAAGGGACTAGGCTAGTTTCTGATTGGGTTAAATGTCAGTCAGAAAGGGCAGTGAGTACACCGATGTATTCTAACTGCCTTCAGGCAGGAAAACTGAAACGTTTGCATAAACGTGAATGTTTGGAATGGTTGTCAAAAATATAGGAGTGTCAATGTAACTGGAAATTATTCGAAAAGTGTGCGGCTTATTTTGCTGGTTTTTCGTGGTTATGTCTTTCTATTTTGTATTTTTTTCTCAGTCTAAATCATTTAAATATTGAATCAATCATTCGCATATGTTTTTTATTTTTATTTGGAATTATTTATTTCCATATCAACATAATAACATATTTTTAGAATGTAATTGATTTTTTTGTTCTTGTCTTAGCACTATATATTTAGGGAATATTTTATTTTTCTGATTTGAATTTTTCGTCAAAACAATAGTTAGTGTTTCCCATAATGAAGTTTTTATGACAATGTTGATTCTATCTTGTAATTCTAGATTTTGTACGTATTGTGAGTGGATATTGTTTTTTTTTTTATTTATGGTTGCCACTTTCCACTGTCTAACAAGTGCAATAAGTTGAAATATGGCTGTTTCAATCTGGAATAAAGGATGGTGATAATAAAAACTCTTGGTGTTTTAAATACAGTGAAATGTAATTGTTAGTATTGTGGTTAATACATAATCTGTAGAGCTTTTCCCAAATGATTGATTCGCTTAAATGAGTAAATGACAGGCTAATAGTTGAGAAGAAAAATATTTTATTTTTGCGTGTCAATCATTTTGTCAACGGAAAGGTGAAAAGTGGAATCGTAATTATTTCATTTACCTATTCTCGAAGCAGAATTAAATTATCCATTCATTTGCTATACAGGGGCGAATACAGGATATTTTATGGGGGGAGAGTCTAAACTTTGATATCGCCAGACTAAGTTAATGATTTTTTATTGTATACAAAGAACAAATTGAATAAATTTTTCAACGGGGGGGGGTCTGGACCCAAAGAACCCCTCCCCGCCTTCTTAGATCCGCCACTGCTATATGACGTCGTAATCCAAACACTTAAAGATTTATATATAGGGCTATCCTGAGACACAAATAGGCAATATTGGGAGCATTTCAAGACGTTAGATTTTAAGGCATAAACGGCTGATCATTATGTTCAGTTTTGGAGATGAGTACATAGTCGGCTCCAATAACTTATAGATACATCTGAGGTTAAACTGTATGTGTTGGCAACCTACCCGAACATTCGCATTTACTCAAACTACTGTGTACATGCCTGATATCAAAACTAGGCGTCATTGATATTCTCTGGGTATCGCAAAAAAAATTTTCCACAAAACTGTTGATTTTATTACTCGGAAGATAGTAAGAGAGTATACCTTACGTTATGTAATCTTAAATAACTCAAAATAAATAAAAATTAAACATTCCATTTGTGATCGTTATTGCATGATTAATAATTACATAATTTCTTTTCCACTTTTTATAAAAAAGAGCATATCAAAATTAATTGGAATGCCTTACTCTTGTTTGGATATGTAATATGAATAGTATTACGTATTTTGAAATTCATGTCTTTAATGTTTTCATTGTTTTTTCACAGCCTCAGTGGTGCTTGAACAAAATAAACAATGTTGACACAAATCAGAATGTCATAGAATGACCCCACCACCATGTACTAGAGGAACGATATCACCAGGAACATCCTCTAAAGCATCATCATGTTGTTCACCGTTCCACTGAATTTCGGTATACTGTAAATATGGCTAGGAATAGTTTGCATACAGAGAAAAAATATTTAAAACAGCCCGAGTTACTGTATTGTCTAGTATTTGTCAACAATAAAATCTGTATTCCGAATTAGTCTTACTTAACTAAATTAATTTCTGATTTACTCATCACGCAATATATAAGTTTGGATCAACCCTAGGCCTGTTTATGAATAATTTTTAGCAGTTCGCTTCCATGTTGAGTATGTTAATTTGTTGGATCCAGTGGAAATTTGAACGAAGTATTTCGCCTAGTTAACAGAGAATTCGTTCAAAGAAGTGTGTGCCACTACACAACGTGCATTAAATCGCGGTGACATGCGCAGTTGAATGATATCGGATCAGATATTCAACCAAACAAATCAAAGTGCGTTTGATTTTGACTACTGCCCACTCATTACGTCCACTTTCCAAACACAAATAAGGAATGATGGGAAAGCATGGAACAATATTTGATGGCAAAATCAAGTCTCGTGGCTCTGCACTGTCTACGAAATCTTGGCGGCCATTTGGTCTATTACTAGAATATAATTAAGACCACTTGTTTCCTGATTCTGAATTACAATAAGATATCATACGGAAAGGCAACTTTTCATACTAGCGTCAAGTCATTGACACAACGTATTTTACTACACTTTACTACATCGGTATGTGCCAATTGAGCTCAATACAAGAACAGGTTATATGAAGAATGCAAGCCGATATATTTATACATAATCTGTGCCGAGTAACTCTAACAGTTGGTGGCAATTATGAAAGGTATACTAATATATTGTTCTAGTCTATGTTTTATTTACATAGAACATTTGCTTTCATTACGTATCCCTTCAAGACAGTTGACAAGTTTTACTGCCCAACACAATCTTGACGTGTATACACATATCAGAATATATATATCTATCAATAATACATATACCGTGCCAACGTTTTCCCACATCAATATACTATTATGGTCTATTTTAATTTTAACCTTCCCAAATAAACAAAATTCTAAAATTTAAAAACATAAGAGGTAGTCACTAAACCATGTACTTTCACACTCAAGCAAGAGAATAGACATGTTGGTGAACTAGCCTTACACTGTGAGTGTTTTATTGTTTACAATCTGTAAAATACCAGTTTTTTCGCAAATAAAAAAATGAAAAAAAAAATGCAAACCTCACTTCTTTATATTTTTGAGTGGGCCAGCGATTTTTCCACATACAA